ACTCGCTCATATTAAAATTGAATATTTTTTCTTAAACCACGAGAAAAGAAAACGCCTAGATTGAGCTGTCAAGTCGACCTTGGCCGAGTGCGACGAGAGAAATATATATTATATATATATATATTTATACATTGTAATCGCGTCGGACCGTATAGCGCAATTTGAATAGTATTATTAAGTTGCAACAACTGTCCGCGTTTATGACGAAATTATAATAACTCGAAGTAACGTCCAGTTGTCGAAATTTAACCAAAAACATTGTTTTAATTGTAAAATAAATATTTTCTAAAGTAAAATAATTTCTTATCACACCACTCATTGGTTTGGTATAGGTGTTTTTGTTTTCTTCTTATTTTAATCGTATGAACGTTTTATAATATTTTACAAATTGATAAATTGATTTACATGAAATAATTAACAGACATATGGTGATGTAAATATTTGTTTGGCCGCACAAATATCTTGCAATAATATTTAATATAATATGTGTATACCCAGCATTCGACGTGAATCACATTTTTTCATTMTTAAACTACATTATAGAATCACCATTGGATTGATTTTACAAATTGTATGTTATATGTTATTTTTTACGCATTTCACTATTTCAGTAATTAAATAAAAATATATCATGATAATTTATAGCACGGCGATGTTCATAGGCAATTTAGGTACATCTGTGTCGTGGTTTCATTTTTCGATCTCAAGTCCATTAAGGTGAAAATAATATATCGGTTAACTGGTAACTGCTAATTTGAGTAATGATGAAAAATATGAACCATATTGTGTTAATGTGAGTAGCTTTGTACTTAACGGCTAACTACTTATTTTTTAGAGCAGTTCATTATATGCTTTACCGACTAAGACAGTGCATATAAACCACAATATTGGCGTCTATAGATACGTCGATGGTCTTCTTTACAGCTGGCCTATCGTCATTGTCCATATAATAAATAAATTTCCATATCTAACTACCAATAAAATAAGTAAATTAATTTGTTTATACATAAATATTAAGTACATCCACGAGTAC